GGGGGGGGGGGGGCAAACGACGCAACGCTGATCGGTCATCACCCAATGGCACCACCTGTGGTCGAAAAATCACAGGATGCCGCCGGCAATAACAAACAAAAAAAAAGGCATCACCCAAGCACCAAGCGCCCACGATGGACCTCATGTAGGCCCTAAAATCTTGTTGACAGTTCGGCCCGGTGGTTCAGCTGGTACTGCTGAAACCTCGTTGTGTGGGTACCCTATTGGTACTAGGTTGAGGGTTCGAAGGTTTCTGGGAGCCAACATTGTTTGAGTGGTTGAATGCGGTTGATTCGTACGTGTAATCATATCGATGGAGGAGCTGCTGACCCTTTCTCGCGTTGAAAATGACGGCACGCGCGGGGGAAGGGAGCTCCAGTGACCACCTTCCCCGTGTGCCCCCGGTGGCGCGTCAGCATACCCCGAACGGTGTGGATCGGTGCCCAGAATAGAAGGGACGAAAGTAAACAGTACCCGTTCCTGAACATATTTACAACCTCGTAACACCCTTCTGGTGCAAAGTTGCTGTTTGCTATCTACATACGCTTGTGAGAACAGCAGTTTCTGCTGCTGTTAGCTGTTAGTGATGTCATATGGATGAACGGTTGGTGCGCCATGCGTGCCAAGATACAATGGTAGGATGGTCAGTTTTTTCTTGCGAAGAGCGGCCTGGTGGTACAGCAGTATTCAGCCAGACTGCAACATCTGTTGACAACGTGCACTGACAGAACGCGCCATGCCGGGCGCTGCCGTTCTGTTGGGCGATATCGCTGGCACTAGAGTACACGCAGGCATGCGCGCCTGATGGCCTGCGTCCGGTAAAAATACGGTCAGTGCGCGGTAAGTCTCCGACTATCTCCGACCGGTGCGCGGTCGTATGTTGCGGGATGAAGTCATCTTGCCTCGTGTACCGCCCGACTTCAAGACTTGAGCTAAAACTAGACCGAAAAGCATACCATGTCCTTTCACGAAACCTCGGTGCCGCGTCCTTGCTCAAGACGGCGTCAGTGTTTGCAGAGGAAAACTCTAGCGCGAGCACAGGACGTGTAGTGTATGTGACTGCTGTCCCTACCGCGGAACACGAGTCTCAGAATTACTATCGCAACCGGATTTGGGTAGGCAGGCAGTCCATTACGAGTAACAGCGTAACGGGAACACACGGACTATTATGAAGCCCGTGTGTCCGTCCGACGAAAGGCTCTGCTTGCGAGAGAAATGTATGATCTCGACGACGCCGACGTAATCTTGCTGGTGCGATGGCCATGGGCAGGTCGGAACACCGTCTATCGCCCAATATCGAACAACTGAACTTGTACAAAGACAGATTGCCTGGCTGTCTCTTTTAAGTGTACGTGTACACGTCATATGCATACTATACACAATGTACAGAAGGTGTCCGGGTAAAGTGCCGGTATGTCTCCAGTGGGGTGGACCGGCACTATACCGGCCACCGGCACTTTTTAGAATTGTGTCTTTTTAGTGCCAAGCCGGCACTATTCAGGGTAGAAAAATTCCTCAATAGTGCCGCCTTGGCACTAGTGAGGACTGTTCGACTTCAGGGTGCAGCACTTGCGTTTTGCGGGGCTGACAGAGTACCAAACGAGCGGTGCATGGATCAATTGTGAGGTGTGCGACGTGGGCGGGCTTCTTCGAGTTTCGCGAGGCTTCCAGCCGATCGAAAACACGGCTCTGTTCACATTCACCTTAAGTTGACCAGATACATTTGTTGCACCATGGTTCTCTTCCCGCCTCAGCGCACACCCTAGGGTTGTGAACGTCGCCGCTGCCTGTAGACCATCGACCGTGCTGCCCGATCAAAAGGTACCTCCCTATCAAATGATCTACTGTATTGTTGTGGCAAGAAGATCGTAGCACAATTCAGGCGACCTCAAAGGCACCCCTTCACAGCGAAAGAAAGACGCTTGTGCACGCCCGCGATGTATACTTGGAGGTACAACACGGATGTTGTGCTCCTTACATGACAAAAGCAGATGCAACCGAAAGGGGCGAAGAAGATAAAAAACTCCTCTGTTCCTTCGATACAAAGCTAGAGAGAAGACCAAGCTTTCAGAAGCAAGAAAAAGACTGGCCAACCAAAAGGCGTCTGTCTCAATGTGGTTGAAAACAGAAATCTAAGTTTCTCAAGGCCCTGATCTGGGATCCCGTGAGAGGGTGTCATGGAGGAGGCTGAGCTATACTCCGGGTAAAAAACAGAAACGGTAGCAACAGAGGAGAACTGCACGTGTCTGCCAAGGCTAGTACGAAGTACGTTGAACACGCGTTCGTTTTTGGAGTGTTTTCATCCTTATCCTTGTATTTACCACCACCGCTCTGATCAACACTTCGACTATTGTTCGGGCGTCATCTGTAGACTCTACCCCCCGGCGGCGGTGTGGTGAGCAAGGTCATGTCGCTCGAAATGCTTGTTGCTCTCAATGCCATATTTTCCTCCTCCATCATCACTGCTGTTCTTCGATATTCTTTCCACATCCTTCGTCACTACCACCCTCTTCCTTTTCGCCCGCCTCAGTACTGAAATCCCAACCTATTGGCCTGTGGCTACGTCAAGAAAATTTACCGGCACTATACCGGAGTGTGGCACTATTCAGCCGGAACTACATGTACGACAGACCGAAAGCGCCATTCCGACTCAAGTTCCGCCTGC